TACTATTGACTTTTATTAGGGAGCTTGTAGAGAGTCAACAGTATTAGAAACTGTAAGAAAATCACGGCGCCCCACGTTTTTCATCGCTTATAGTAGAGTGATCGCTTGCATTATTGTGATGTATTATTTTCTACTTTTTATTTCAATCAGAAAACGTGGGGTTTTTTTTTAAATTTAATGATAATTATTTTCTACTTTTTAGTCTTTGTCTGTTTGTTTGCATTAAAATCTTGCTATCGATTTTATCTTTTCGCATTCCCCTTTTTTTTTGGGGTAAACGAAGACAACTCGTAAAAAACACGTGCCTTGAACCCGTGTCGAGTGGGTTAGCAATCGTGTGCCCAACCACTCGACCATATCGTCTCCCCCATGCTGGCCACCAGTTGTTACGTTCTGGTTGTTTGTACACAAACACTGCGTGACCACTACTCAGTAAGCCAAAAGAGGGAGAGTACCGAACCTTGTTTTCATCAAATTACAATTACTGGGTTATGACTCCTTTTCCCACGTTTTTTGTACAAATATATATGGGTCTAAAATGATCAATAAAATGTTTCCATGGATCAATTTAGTAATAATAACAATTGAATATTCTATTGTCATCGGAAACAAAGCTTTCCTGAAAATTTCAGCGAGCTAGCTAACTGGAAAGTGCCCGAAATTTCGACCGCAAGATTTGATTGGAAAACCAAACAAACAAACAAACAAACAGACGCGAAAGCAAGTTAAAGAAAACATGGGAAAATCATATTAAAACGATTCATACAAATAATTTAAAATAAATTAAAAATATTTTATGAAAGATAACTACATATTATTTCATTTAAAAATTGCTAATTATATGCATACCTACGTCCATTATGTATATAAAAGCACAAAAGTAAACATATAACCGATTCATTGTGTTGTTACTTGTAACTCGACTAGAAATTGTTAGAATACTCATTCGATTACAACCGCCATCTAACGTATGGATGAACATTGTGAACTATGTATCTGTCAATTCAAGAAGTGAATTCCGATCTTCCTCGTCCATTTTGTGTATGTGAAAACACGAGTTTTAGCCGCACATGGGACGACAGGGAAGGTAAAAGCAGGTAATTATATACAGATGTTCTAATGAACGTCACAATACAAAGTTATTCGTTTGGATTGTAGCCATATAAGGCGATGGTAAGTTTGAATTTCTAAATTTAAAGTTAAATCATCATAGTGGTATTGGTTATATTATATATATAAGTATAATGTAATGATATTATTTGTTTTTTTCAACACAAAAAAGTAACAATGGTTGTTGGACGACTGTCAATGTTAAATAGTAAAAAGTAGATTGTACCTTGTTACTGGTAAAGATCAGCAAATTGATGTATAAGTTAGGGTCGGCGTGGTCGAGTAGATAAAGCTCATGTTTGCAAAACCGAAAAGTCTCGAGTGCTAGCCATCGGGCAGATGAAGCTCGTTAGCTGGGGACAGCCACTTTTCTAGGAAAGACAACTGCCAAATCAATCAACTGCTGCCTTGAAGCAAATTCAAAAAGAAACGCGGGCGGAAAAAATCCGAGTCAATGGCCTTAATGGCGCATAACCAGTTGACATGTATCTTTAAGTGTGTTGGAGGGGATCCCTTCCAATACTATAATTTAAAAACGAAGAAGAAGAAGATTTGTAAATTCAACCGGTAGGAGGGTCCGAATCGCTTCTCTACAGGGAATATAGAATCTTGTATAGTATAGGTAGATGTAGTATTATTAAGGTCAGATGACTACGTGTCAATTCAATGCACATAGTTTACAGCCTGATTAGAATGATAATGTTTTTTTTTACCAAGTCCGATGACCACTTGACTCTGGCAAGGGTTTACAGGCAGTAGTAAAATAAAATGATGCAGTATATAATAGTATAATATCTACTGCTCATTGGCCGACACACATGAAGGGTGAAAGTTTACAGCAATAGGTGAAGAATACCACCACGTGTGCTACATTACGGCAGGACAGGGTATTAGAGTAGGTAACTGATATGCATAATCAACTGCAACGTTGTACTACGTCACGGGCAGGAATAGTTTTGAGTAAAATAAGTTTTCAATTTTCCCGTGTACTAATACACGGTCAGTGTAAAGTTTAATTACGTAAATCAGGTATGTTATTGGCTTCCACATTAACCGAATCACGAACATGGTAACAATGTTAAGCATATTGGTAATAATCCAATTACAGCAAGAATTTGTATAGGATTTATCAAAGCCACTCGATACAACGATAATTAAATATAATGAATAACATATCGATACAGTAAAATAAAGAATAATTAATTAAGTAAAACCAAACCCAAAGCACGTGGGGATCGGGCCAACGGCCCCAACTTCGCGCGCGACAAATCAGGTGAGCTCAGAGATGGTAGGAAGAGAGAGGAAGAGAGTTTTTTTGGGTTGCATGCCCTTTTATGCACATAATGTATAGTATTTCACGTGGACATTCTAGCCAACTAGAAATGATCCTGTGAGGAGGTAAGAATGTAATTTGCTGGTGGGGGGGGGGGGGGAGTAATAACGCAGGTAGAGGGTAGTGGATAAATATAGGTGAACGGATTTTCCATCACAACGAAGTGGTTGAAAGGTAGCGTTAACAATTGCTGTCCCAAAAGTGTCTAATTCAAATCCCGGGTCAGAGTCTGTAGGACTCCCTAAGCCAACCCTTCACTGATTGGTACCTAGGCTATTTTAGGGCTTAGTGTATACAGCACTATCCCTTCGAATGCCGACCTCATTAAAACAGATGAACACTAATTCATCTGCTCCGTGTGTCTATGACACGAACAAGAAAAGTTGATGTTGATGATGTATGAATGATTGTTCAACACAGACAAGCCTGTGATTAAGCTGTGATATTTGTGTTCAACTCAAGTATCAGTGTGTACATTTATTCTTAGCGTATATACAATGACATTCAGTTTGAAAGACAATTTTGAAAATGTAAGACTTTACACTGATAAATATGATGGCATGGTCTGGATGTAATGCACACGACAATACGCCGTACAGCTACAACTTCGGATCCTGGATTCGAATAAGTAGGACATCTTTGAGTCCACCTGGGTACCTGCCACAGGTTAGTAAATGACGTCACTAAGTCCATCTGGTCACCTGCCATAGGTGAGTAAAGCACTTCTCTGAGAACAGCTGGGTATCTGAACAGGTAAGAAAAGGACAGGATGTCGAGTACAAGGCTCACATCACAATTCCTTAGTATGCCGCAGTCATAGAAAGAGATAAACTGTATTTCCTCTACTCAATGGATCTCAAATATGAAATGGTAAATGCTTATATTGATTGGCTACTTACTCAAAAAATAAAGCCAAAAAAAATCAACAACAAGATAATATTATTAGGCATTTCATTTTAATTACATTTTTATTAAAGGCAAGACAAAATAAACCGGGCTTTATACTGAATGTATAAAAAATTAAAGACAAATATAATTTTCAACGAAATTAGTTGAATGGAATTGAAAAAAAACCCACTGCTGTTTGTATTTACTAATAGTATCTATATTGTCTCAAAATACGTTGCTACATTGCTTATAGGCTACTTGCTGTTACCATGTGGGCCTTAAGAATTTGAAACAGTACTTTTATTAGCATGAATAAGAAAATACCAAAACAATCAATAGCAAAGCAATCATATGGGTTACATAAAGCACGTTTGACATAAACGTGCTCAAATAACATTTATGTTATTAATGATTTAAGGAATAAAATGAAATGACTGCAACCATAAGCACATTAAAGCAAACTAACATCTATGTTATTCAACATATAAGAAATAAAGTAACTTTAACCATCCGCATAGTAATTGTAGAAAACAGACATAAAATACAACTTCAGGATATCGGAAGTCACACAAAACATTATTGTAAGTATAAGATATTTTACCAGTAAATGAAATGAAAATTCGTCTACGTGGCTTAACAGTTCTCAAGTTATAATGACCTTTAATGGAAGACCCATTGGTAGCATCAGTTGTTCGATTTTGAGTTGTCTCTCCTAGATTGGTTGCTTTTTCACTCTCGGAACTGTCCGATTTAGCAACCTTAAGGGGATATGCGCGGAAAAAAATTACAAAATTTCTTGTTTTCCGTCATGATGGGTTTCTTGCACTTTTGGATACTTTGTCCATTTTTGTATAAAGAAAATAATAACTTTAAAGAGAAAAAAATATTTTTTGTGTTTGAATTACGATTTTTATGACCCTATTAATTTAAAAATAATCAATTTTTCCCAATCTTACAAGCTCTCTATGAAACGTTTTATATCCGTTATTATATTGTATTTGACACCATTGGAAAGCTGGATGTCGCATGTATCTAATAAACTTAATTTCCTACATCTCGGAAACACCCAAAGCTTACAATCGGCTTTTCAGTTTACACAGATATGGTACTTTACTGACCTAGTTTTCGTTACTTTTGGCTGTTTTTCTCAGTTCGCATGTTTTTAACACTAAAAAGCCTACTACTTTTTTATTTATTATACAATGCCAACCATATTTTTTAGTAATTGTTCTTGATGCAAAAATACAACTTTTGTCACGAGGGAATTGTGATTGCTTTCATAGAAAAAAAGTATTTGGTAATTAATATGCAAATTTTGAAACTTTTGAATACTAAAAAGGGTACGATTTTTTAGACCTTGTAAAATTCTTACTAGTAATTATTTCAAAAAGTTGTCGTGACAAAAGTTTTAATATATACTGAAATATAAGCAGTTTAAATTTGATTGCTATAGGTGCATAAATAAAAAAAGCCTTAGTATTTTTAAAAGTACCGAAAAATTCAAAATGGCGGAGGTTTTTGGGTTTCCATGACAACCAAAATTGTTTTCGACCCTTTTTTTTTGCTATTTAATACTTACTTTTATATGCCAAATATGATAAAAGTATTTAAAAGGCTTTAGATCTTAAACTGTAAAAAAATAGAAAAAAACATAGCATATCCCCTTAAGTCACATAGTTTGTATATAATCGTCTTGAGATGTATCATCATTTATTGAACTGGCTATCGCATCTATGTCTTCGTAGATGTTCGCTTCAACCAATCTTTCACCGAGAACGCCGTATTTGTTGTCCCCACTTATTTCTGGGAGTTGATCAGGACAGAAATCAAACAGGGACAAATAGTCTGCCGCCATGTCTAAAAATGTAAAAAGTAAAAGTTAAACATGGATTAAATATCAGAGTAAAGCTATTTGGGTAGACTATGCGTACACATTTAGATAATAGATAAAAACAGTCAAGACGAGAAAAAAGTACAATTAACAATATACTCTGAACTTAACTCGACTAAATAAAAAAAAAATAAACCGGGAGTGATCTCCCCTAAATGTGTCGAATATTCATTTATATGAAACAACAGGGGGTGGCAACTCGGGATATAGACATGATTTTAATCCATTTTAAATACTTAAACTTTTAAAAATAGAATAAAATCTCGTAGAAAAAAAATTGCACACCAAGTGAACGCCAAATAAAATGTGCATAATAGTGCGGAATATTATTAGTACTTTATAAATTCACATGCGTTTTTTTTAGAAATCGGAAATAGCAAAAATTACTACTTCCAGTCAACGGAAATTACTCAAAATTTTAAAAGGAAGGCAGAGAATTAGATCTTTTACTTACATGTGAAATTTTATTTATCTATCTGAAATAGTAGGCCTACTCACATTATAGGCTTTTGAAAAGTTGAGAGTAGAAAAAGTTGCACTTCCGGATATCTGAAATCGCTCAAAATTTGATACGGATCTGCGATTTTGAAATAATACTTATATATAAAATTTCCTCAACCTAGCTGTAACGGTACTCAAGTTATCATGTTTACACTCACAATCAGACACACGGACATAATTGGATAATCCAGTTTTTCCAACTCTATTACGCATAAAACGCCAAAATTTTGATATATCTTTAATTATATTTTTTGCCCGATCAAAATAAGTCCTCTATATCCCGGATGTGATAAAGGACTGAGGAGTAAAACAGAGAAAACTGTCAAATTTTCATGTGATTTTTGTGCACGATTACAAGACTTTCTCTATACTCTGTATACGAGAAATTAAAAATTAAATGAAACCGCAACTTTATAAAATCAACACAAAACCAAATAAAAAACTTAAATCACAAAAAGTTAAAACAAAACAATATAAAAACAGCAAAAACAACACTAAACGTACAACGTATTACAACGTAAAAAAACAAAACAACTAAGCACAAAGTACAATTATTATATTATAGGTAGATATTTCTATTTTTATTTACTGTGCTATAATAATAATACTAAATTGCATAAATGATAGTATTTGAAATCAAACAAATTTATTTTTAAGGTTAATACAAATTTATATTTCACTAATAATATTTGTTATATGTACAGTAAGGTTAGAGATTCTTGGTGCTCTAAAAATCAATCTTTTGTAAATATTAAAAAAATTAATCTTTGGTAAGAGAAACAAAAATGAAAACGAGTAAAAGCAAAGACAAATGCGCGATACCCACACTCATCGTACACTTACATGTAATTAATTATAGTAAAACGTTTCTTAAATTTAAAAAAAAAATGTTTTTCTTCAATCTTCCGAAAATATATTAAGTTAGAATATAATTATATTTATCATTTGAGTATATTATATCAGAAACCTAATTGAATATATGTGAAAAAACTTCACAAGGTAAGAAAACAAAATGTTTAATTAAATACCTTGGGAATTTCTCCTAAGTGACCTAAGAAAATAATACAAATAAAAGAACATTGTAAAGAAATTATGGATTATTTACACGACTGTTAAAAATTACGGAACATACTAAGTTTAGAAAAAAAGTAAACAAACTACAGAATTTCATTGCTGCAATCATTCTTACCTAGCAATTCTGTACATGAGTTCAACATCTACGACATTTTCTTTAATTGAAATAAAAGTTATATAAATATACATATATATATATATATATATATATATATATATATATATATATATATATATATATATATATATATATATATATATATATATATATAAACATATATTAATTATGTAGGGTATATGATAGAGAGATATTTTATAATTTCTGTACACTTTACACTAAATGTCAACCCTGTTTCACATTAAAATTCAGATATCGTAAAATATCTCACCGGTTGGATTATCTTTAGAAGAGTTTCTGGAATCAAATGGTTAAAGTTAGATGCGAAAAAGTTCTTAAATACTATCACTATATCTCTATCAATCTTCATCGCTCTCTCTCTCTCTCTCTATAACTCTCTTTTTCTCTCACTTTAACTCTTTGAAATATTATATACATATATACATACATATATATATATATATATATATATATATATATATATATATATATATATATATATATATATATATATATATATATATATATATATATATATATATATATATATATATATATAAATGTATATATATATATATATATATATATATATATATATATATATATATATATATATATATATATATATATATATATATATATATATATATACATACATAATATAAACATACCTTAATTTTCTTTTTTTGACTGAAAAAAAGAAAATAAAAAAAATACTTTATCTAAAGTTTTCTAATATGTTAAATATTCTTTACGAGTTAAAACAACTTTGCAAAATGTTTGTTTTTTAATGAATATCTGTAGATTAGTCATATTTATATTAAAATCAATTTGAAAATTACCTTTTTTAATAATTATAAAACTTGTGACAACAGCAATCATCGTCAGAACAATTACAGGTATTATTATAAATAATGTTGCACTATTCTCAGTTTTCAACGACAAATGTGTTTTAATATCTAGTTATTATAAGGAAGAAATACAGTTTTTTAAAAAATCACTTCGAATTACACAATTAAAGATGCTGATCAAAACAAAAAAATGCATTACATTTTTTTTTGTAAAAATTCGTTCATGTAATCATGCATGAAAAGTGAGAAAATAAATTATTTTCTTTTCTTGTACTATGTAATAATACACAACTATAGTAAACTTTGACCCACTTGTAAGGTATTGAATTTTTTCTAGGTACATTTGTCTTTGGTGAAAATTCAATAATATATAATATTTTAATCTGTTTAGATTTTAGTTTACTCATTGACATTTAATTAAAACAATACTAATTATCTTACTAAAGGTGGAGCTGAAAAAATAGATTCTAGCGATCGATCGATCAGTTGGCCATAAAGTTGAACTATTGCTTTTACGGCTTAGTGACTTGGAATCTGAGTATCGACCATGGATTTAGAACTAAGAGAATAATAAGCTACCAGTGATTTTTTAATAAACACATTAGTATACTTATCTTATTTTCAGTGCTTTTATACGTATATTATAAATAGTTTTTTTATTATTTATTTTATTATTTCAAATAGAGCCAACATTTTAACATTATTTTATAATTGTGTAATTAAAAACATATTGTATGCAAACTTCACTTACCGATATTGTGAAGAATGAATGTAAAGTTCATGTAGTTTCTTCGGAAATCTTTTCCTGTCCCGATTCGAATAAAAACTTCACCGATATCTTCGAGAGACACATCGGCTAGTAGAATATGTGGCATATAAATTTCTTTGTTTGCAGACGATTGAAACCAATCAATGCACAGATTAAGTGCGCATTTACTTTTAGTAGTTAAAACCTTTTCTTGATAGACTATCCATTTTGTTTTAAACAAATTTGGCACAACTACACAAATGCTGAAATCAACTGTTTGGTTCAACGAAACTTCTAATGTTTTACGTAAATCCTTAAGGTCACAGAGACTTGGTCGAGCTGTTAAGATAATAATCATGATATTATTATATACATTTCTTATTGTTATATTACTTATATTTTGTGTAAGTAAAACAGAAATAGTTTTTTTGGATTTTTTTTTTCAAGTATTTTAACATTTTTTTTTATATCTGTGTAATTCATAGCAAATTGTATGCAAAGTTCATTTACCGCTACTTTGAAGAATGAATGTAAAGTTCATGTAGTTTCTTCGGAAATCTTTTCCTGTCTCAATTCGTATAAAAACTTCACCGATATCTTCGAGAGACACATTGGCTAGGCTAATGTGTAGCATATAAATTGCTTTGTTTGCAGATGATTGAAACCAATCAATGCACATATTAAGTGCGCATTTACTATCAGTAGTTAACACCTTTCCTCGATAGACTATCCTTTTTTTTTTCAAAAAAGTTTGCCACAACTACACAAATGCTGAAATCAACTGTTTGGTTCAATGAAACTTCTAATATTTTATGTAAATCCTTAAGGTCACAGAGCCGTGGGCCACCTGTTAAAATAATGATCACGCCATTTATAAATACATTTCTTATTTTTAACTAAGTTATATTGCTTAAAAAACAATAATAATTGTTTAAATTATTTAAGCTAATGTACATGAATATCAATAATAATTTTTTCCATCATTATTGTACGCGTATAATTTGTTTTTATTTGGAATTTCTGTGCATATGTACCGTTGAAATATTTTTTTCTGAATTAAACTGCATAATGTACGTGCAATAAGATATATTGCAAATGTAAACCTACCTATATTTTTTAAAAGCAAATAGTAGCCCACTGTCTCCGTCAAATTACGGTCTGTAGATATCTTTAATGAGTGTTGACCTACATGATCTTCTGTAAAGTTGTGAATTGTAATGTTCGCAATATATCGAAATTGAGAGGTGTTTGATTGTTTCCAGTTTACACACAAGGTAAGATAGCAGTTTGACGACTTTAACCATCGCTCTTGATACAGTAGGTATAGTGCAGTGTCGTTTGTTTTGGAGGGCACCAAGACACAGATGGTAAACGAAACTGAATCGTTGAGGATTATGTTGAGCGTTCTTTCAGAAACTTCACCTTTGCAGAGACGTAAAGGGCCTAAATGTAGAATTTTAAAAAAATAACGAACACTAAATTTTGAACAAAAAAAATAATCTATAGCATTATTTGGTTTGTAATTTAAAACAAATGAAAACTAAATCAGCTAATATTAACTCTTTGAACAAAACAATATTTGTTTTAAATTAAGTTTACTAAGACCTTAACATATATTTTCAATTGAATTTCATTAGAAAAAAAATATTATACCTGTGTCTTTTAAGGTAAAATTATAATACGTTCTGTATGAAATATATCCGTGTGTGGTCACAATTTGTAAAGTATTTTCCCCTATATCATTTTCAGTTACTTCTTTAAATCGTATGTTTTTAATTAAAGGAAACTCTGAATTTGTTGGATAATCCCAAAATACACAAACGTTACAATTTGCATCTTGTGACAATTTTTGGTCTTTATAATAAAAATCAACTTTCTCCACTTGAGTCGGTAGGAAGAGACAGACTCTAATTGACACGTAATTGTAAAACCAAAGATTTATTACATTGTTTAATTCTTGCCCGCCGCATGTTTGAGGTGGACCTAAGTGGAAAAAAATGTAATATTTTAATATATATAGAACAAAATTGTAATAATTGGGGGGGGGGGGGGGGGTCTTACAGTTGTGTTGATGTAATAATTATAAATAAGCTGGCCCCTAAAATTCCTCGCATAGTCTTATGGAGCAGAATGTGTTGAAATGGAACTTCCAGTTAAATCCCGATGTAGGAATATCGATTTTTGAGGAAACAAAAACATTATTTTTTTAATAAACATATACTTTAAAAACTTTGCTACTGCGAAGACTGACAGAGCGTAACACTGCCTAACACCTTAACTTAATGACACAAGTATAATGCACAATTATATAGGTTTTTAAAACATTAGAGGTACAGTCTCCTCTCCGATTATAAAAACATTAATATAAATTCGTCCACCTAATTATAAAGGATGTTATCATTTTTATAGTTTATTATAAGAGTATACTTCTATATTGAGTTTCGTCTTTCTAACTTATGCAGTACTCTACTTATTGTGTTAATATGGAAGTATGATGTATCTTTATTCTAGATGAGCTACTATCACCAGCTATCGTTGACCAGAACAACTAACAGATTTGAGAAATTACTCAGCATTACTTAGCAGCATGAATTAGCTTAGACTTATTATTCGCTTTAGTTTATAAGTTTGTATCATCTTCATGTTGGAAATGATACTCATTTGTAATTTTAAATAATAATCATTAAAAAAGTTTTAAAAAACCCACGTTTTCTGATTGAACTAAAAAGTAGAAAATAAATGCTATACATCACAATAATGCAAGCGATCACTCTACTATAAGCGATCAAAAACGTGGGGCGCCGAAGTAAAAGTTATATTACTATTGATTAGATAATACTATTGACTTTTATTAGGGAGCTTGTAGAGAGTCAACAGTATTAGAAACTGTAAGAAAATCACGGCGCCCCACGTTTTTGATCGCTTATAGTAGAGTGATCGCTTGCATTATTGTGATGTATAGCATTTATTTTCTACTTTTTAGTTCAATCAGAAAACGTGGGTTTTTTAAAACTTTTTTAATGATTATTATTTTCTACTTTTTAGTCTTTGTCTGTTTGTTTGCATTAACATCTTGCTATCGATTTTATCTTTTCACTTTTTTTTGGGTAAACGAAGACAACTCGTAAAAAGACAACTCGTAAAAAGACAACTCGAAAAAAAATCGTTGTGTGAATACGTTACTGACTAGAACACATAGATTTGAACCCGTGTCGAGTGGGATAGCAATCGTGTGCCCAACCACTCGACCATATCGTCTCCCCCATACTGGCCTACCTCCTGTACGTTTAAACTCGGTTCGAAGTAAATTATCTGCCCCTACGCCTGTGGCGACGTGGGATCGTTCGCTTCACTGCGCGCGAGGTACGCGTCGCTCGTTTTTTTTTCTAATGGCTCGCAGAGGAGAATTATATATATAGATTATATAGCGGTCTAAAATGCTCAATAAAATGTTTCCATTGATCAATTTAGTAATAATAAAAATTGCATATTCTATGGTCATCCAAAAGAAAGCTTCCCTGAAAATTTCAGCGCGCTAGCTAACTGGGAAGTGCCAGAAATTTCGATCGCAAGATTTGATTGGAAAGACAAACACAGAAACACAGACACAGAGAAAGCAAGTTAAAGAAAACGTGGGAAAAAAGATCTACTTCTTTCTGGTATTTACTTACGTTTCCATTAAAAAACATTATAATCAACCTAACTACAAGGCATACGTTAATGTTTGTGTTGCTGCTATTTTATGATGATGTTTGTCTAATTTTATGCTTTTGACAATGGTTTACTTATTTTTCTACATGTTAAACACACATACTTACAATCATTTACAAATAATCGCATCCATCTGTCTATGACTGTGCCATTTTTAGGCTTCGCTTGACACTTGTAAACCCCACTATCTGCACAGGTTAGTTTAGGCATGTCATGGGTTATTTCGGACTCTCTGAAAATCGTCAGATTATAACCATGTAGTCTGTAAATAGAGATGTTTTCTGCGTCAGGTCCACCATTACAGGTTAAAGGGAAACTTGCATTTTGGTTTCTGATGAAGCTCAGTGGGATATCTTCGCTTAAAAAAATGTGTGAATCATCTGTTGATATATTTTAAAATATATTAGTTTATATTATATCTTATTCATAGAAACAAGTAATACAAATGTAAATATTAAATGTGGGATCGGCAACAAACTTGGGTATCATCGCCTTTTCCCATTTTTTTTTGGGGGGGGGGGGGGTGGATGTTGAAGACATTGGTTAAAGTAAATATTTTTTTTATAAATTATATTTCGTTCGGGGGAGAGGTGTTAGACGTTTTCCGCCGAAGGGATGCCTGGAAGAAATTCTGTTTCTGTTGGGGAAATGTAAACCTTTTACCCCTTGCAAACACTTAATTATGAAACAGTCTAATGGTCTGCTGTTAGTTGTTGTTACTCTCCGAAATTCGCTGACTTACATAAGAACGCTTAATATTTACTTTTGATTTGTCCGTATTTATTCCTCGAAGACATTTTCTTCGCTCGCCATGATTGTGCATGGTTGCACAATAATGTGACTAACATGGCTTGAGAGATGTGTGTTATAATTTCAGCATAGCAGTCTCCTTCCTAACTGACAATTATGACTAAAAATATTCAAGCTTTTTCCCCCTCTACTTGTGTGTAATTTATTTTAATACTAGCGTACCTATCACCGCGCGCTACCGCATAAAAACCTTAAGTGTACGTTAATCACTCACCGAAATAATGAGGTAGAACACACTTATGTGACCGCCCATGTGTCAAGTACTTAAAGTGGCGCTCTCGGGAGCGCCTGATTACACTACCGCAGAGGCGCCACGGGAAGCGGGCGCTTCGGGTCGTGCAATCTACTAGGCGCTGGCGGTTGCGCCTGTTGAAGTTTTAACGCTGAATATAGTAGTACCCCTTACTTGCTATGCAGGACGCTCTATTAACGGATGCCAAGTGCTAATAGAGCCGCTCTGTAAATATGGGCGCCAAATTGTGTATTGACGAAACCGCACCCTGCCGGGCGCCGCTCATATACAATTTTAATTTTTTTGTTTAAAGAAACATTTCCGGGAGAAATCTCATCAACTTTGTTTTTAAATATACCGTACAAAGAGAAGAGTTGCACCCTCCAGATGCGCCGCCCTTGCGAAATTAAAAAAAAGTTTGTTTTAGCGGACTCTTCCCTGCAGTGTTCAAATCAACTCCCCAAAGTCTCATAGCAATTAAATGTACGATGTCAAGCCGCAATCGACTTTTATTTTTATATACCGAAAATTGAGAAAAAACAAAACGCGCCATGCCGGGGAGCCACCCCTGCGAATTTGAAAACATTTTTTTCCGCAGAAACCTCCCCAGTAGTATTCTCAACAACTTCTCAAAGTTTCATTGCGATCGGATGAAAGGTATTGAAATGCATAAAAGAGAGAAAAACAAATAAACACACACACACACACACTCACACACACACACGTACATTGCTTTATATATATTTGGATTGTTTTTCAGTTTTTTAATGAGTATTGTAATAAGTAAACATGTTAAAACATCTTTATTTAATACTATGAAAAATATGCTCATTGTAACTAAAAAAACATACGTGATAGCAATGACAGGAAAATATAAAAATATATGTATTGAAAGTTGGACAAAAATTGAAAAATAAATAGTTTTTTATGACAACTTACCGCTGCTAAACACATACTTGCATAACACAAGATATGTTACAATCTTGAAGATCATCATTTTAAACTCCCAGCACTTCTAATTTTATACGTTTAATTATTTGATCAAACTAGCTGTCTCAGCCAGGCTCTTCACTAGTTTTTGAGAAAAAAAAACGTACCTGTAAAAAACGGTGACTTGTGTATTTATTAAGCATCATATTCCCAGCGCTGCCTGGGGTTTTTTGGAATATATTACACGAGCCGGCCCGCGGCATAACATACGCCGCTATTTAGTTGTTGTTTTTTCTACTTTTCAGTTATTCATAATTTATGAATTCGACAGTAGTACCAACGCTGCCACTGAAAATATTTCTTTAAAACACTATAAGTAGCTCGTTAAAGACCATAACCCCCCCCCCCTTCCTTCCCCCCTCCACCACACCCCCCCCCCCTACGTTTAAAATCGTTGGCTCTGCTTGTAAACATTTATAGTGAACACAGCTCACTAAAACCATGTAGGGGTGGGGAGGTAGCGAGCGCGTTTGCAGCTTGTTTTCTAACGGCTCGCAGAGGAGAATTATACATATAGATTTCTTATTCATGTCTAAATGTAAATATAGAAAACATAAAAATATAAAACCCTTGAACATCAAATTTTATTATATCCTTACACCCATTTTTATATCAAAATGTTAAACATATACTAATAAGGAAAATACAGAAGTACATAAAAAAGAAACTAAATAGGCTACCAACGGCGTTGAAAGCAGCGAAAATATTTAAATTAAAAATGTAGTCGATTTCATGAGCTACAAGTAATTTTAAAATTGAAAAAAAAAATCGAAATTTCAATGAATTTATCCAGAAAGTGAGCTGAAACACTTGCAGGTTTATAATGCACCCGTTTGGTAAAAGCGAACCCTATCCGTTCAGGCGTTTAGATTTCCATAAAAGACAAAAGCCAGATGCAGACATGATTCGATGTCTATAATATATTATATAGAAGATTGGCACTTTATTCACTTAAACGTCCGTTGGTTTTTATTCCTAAAACATTTATTTATAATACCTCAAAAATACATCAAAATATATTATGCAATATATCTAATTCAAAGAATCATTCTCCAAAGGCATCCAACTCTAACGCGTTTTCCTAAATCACTTATGAATCGATCCCTGTTGAACTTTGCGTTTTAGAACGTTGAATGACATCACGCGTTCGCTTTTTATTTAAAGTAGTCTTCTTGAGTTTACTAAGATGATTCGTTTTCTTTTCTTTTATTTCAATACAAAGTACAAACGGAAACAGCTTGTTTGTATGTAATCGGTCTATTAATCAGAATATGCAATACTATATTAAATAAAATAATTAATGTAGATTTTTATGGGCGCTTATATTTTATACTAATTTTGATTCTATACACGCCTACTGCCCAACATTTTTTTTCTTTCTTGAGCTTATTCATATTATGTGACCCCTGTGGAGCAAAGGACACCAGCCATAACCCTTCGTCATACTGGTTTTGAGTGGGTCTCTTTTTTTTGCTTCCCTTTAAACCTCCTTCTTAATTTATTTCCTACTTAGTTATTACAAAACTCGGCTCAATCATTTATATTTTATAGTTTAGCTATTCTGTTTGTCCTGTCTATCTTACTGTCTTTTAGAATTCTGAACAAATTCAGATCAAAAGCTAAACGCAAGACGAATTATAATAAAACAACAATTAAAAAAAAAAAGATAATTCCTTGAAAACTATTACACTAAAAAACGGAGTATAAAATAGGTCAGAAAAAAACGTTATACTTTAAGTACTCCCTCTTAGCAATTGAAAATAACGAATTTAAATATTATAAAATACAATAAAGTATTCAGAAAGGCCAGTGAAGCCATATTGTATTTCAGAATCTAAAACTTTCGAGTGTAATTACAAAAAAGTTGTATATATCAGAATTTGTTATCACCGAATTTTTACTTTCTCGTATACAGAGTATTGAGAAAATATTGTAATCGTGCACACAAATCACGTACAATTTTGATAGTTTTCATCGTTTTACCCCTCAGTACTTCATAGTATATGGAATATAGTTGATTTATTTTAATCGGAAAAGAATTCCTAATCCAGATTTATCAAAATTTTGACGGTTTACATGTTACCGAGTTGGAAAAACTGGAATGTGCAATTCTGTCCGTGTATGTGTGTGTGTGCGTGTGTGTGTGTGTGTGTCTGTGAACAGGATAACTTTAGTTAGGTTTATGAAATATCACACAAGTATTATATCAAATGTGTAGTTCTGTATCACCTTTTCAGCGATTTCCGTTATACGGAAGTTTGATTTATTTTTTAAAAGCCAATAACTTCAGTACTGTTTCAGATAAATAAAAGAAATTTCACATATAAGTAGAAGATCAAAAATTCTCTTTTCGAATTTCGAGTAATTTCTGTTGACAGGAAGTATAAATTTACGCTTTTTCTCAAAAAATGAAAATGAATTAATAAAGTACTAATAATGTTCCCACTATTATACACATATTGTTTACATTCACTTGGCGAGCAATTCTTTTTTTTTCTACTAAATTCTATTCTATTTTAAAAAGTTTAAGTACTTAAACGTTTATTAAAAATCAGGTCTATATCCCGCGTTGCCAGTAGGCAGAATATAATACATTTGTCATCTAAAACGTTGCAGTATCTAAATAAAAAGTTTAAAAGTGCATGCCAACGTGTAGCATTTGCTAAAACAATCAAGATAAATGCAATAAATACTAAAGGCCTACAGTTGCATTTACTCAATATATATATATATATATATATATATATATATATATATATATATATATACCACAGAGAGAGAGAGAGAGAGATAGATAGATAGAGATAGAGAGAGATAGTCAAGGCGTGTTGAAGTTCACAACATATAGACAAAAGAACAAATCAAAACATTAAGCAGCTGCTAATTTACTTCCTAATGGCAAGATGAAGGCCATGTATCGTGTTAAATTATTTACACAGTCATATACACCAGTTAAAACCAGTACTGAGAATGTTACACACATTGCGGCTTATACGTTGCAGAATCTAATTTTTAAAATTGATAATTTTTACTTTCTCGTATATACAAAGTATAGAGAAAGTATTGTAATCGTGCAAAAAAAAAATCGAGATTTTTACAGATCTCGACGTTTTACACCTCACTGATACGGAAAAACATAATTTTGCAATCTTGTCCGTATGTCTGTGTGTCTGTGTGTCTGTGTGTCTGTGTGTCCGTGTGTAAACACGATAACTTGAGTACCGTTACAGCTAGGTTAATGAAATTTCATATATAAGTATTACATCAAAATCGTAGATCCGTATCAACTTTTGAGCGATTTCCGACAACCGGAAGTGGTACTTTTCCTACTTTGAATTTTTCAAAAGC